AGATCATATTTTATGATAAAGACAAAGTACCCTGCATTGATTGGGTATATATTAATCATAATCGTGTATTAGACAGGAAAAGGAATGAATCAATGTTGTGTATCATCTACTATGCTCTGCCATGTCATGGCCCTCCATGACTTGCTCTGCCCAGTCTCTTCCCCATCCTGCCATTTTCACCTGCCCCATCCTACCCATCCAGCTCGACCATCTCCCTCCCCCATCCCACTTCCTCGTTCATCCGACCCTTCCCTGCCCTGACTCATCCTCCCGTTTGTTACAATCATCGTTACGTAACGACTGTAAACATATGCATTGTTGCATACTCCCAACAAAATTTTAGTTACAATTTTGACCTGCAAGTAGTGTGAATCTAATTGTGCTATTGAAATGAATGAAAAATATAGGGGATTGGAGTAAATTTTTAATAAATCTTATACACACTAACTTTCTCTTGTTTTGAAGGTTGCATGTTCAAACTTTCAGTAAGATATGAATAAAACTGTAGACGAATGAAAAACAAACAAATCTTTATGTAAGAGAAAATAATAATTTGAAAAAACACACTACCTTTCAGAAAACGGCATCAAAATCCGTTTATCCATTCCAGAGATTACCCTGGACAAATAGGTAGTCAGAGGAAAATCATTAAAGCAGTTGAATTGGTTTGTATATAAACATGCTGGAATATCCTGTTTTGCCCAGGATTTATTTATTACAATCCTTCATTAGATAGGAATGGGAATTAATTTATTTATAATGTACTCCCACCTTACACTGGCCTGTACTCTTGCATCTCTACCCGGCTTGCCTCACCTTACTTAACGTCAGCTGGCCTGCCCTTTCAGACTTACTACTATTATTGATGTAGGGTCTAAATATTTCGATGGCTTATTACTATACATCTCCGTGTTTGTAACTTCTCTTATTTTTAACTCTGAGGAAATTATCTGATTGGTTGGTGTCTCAGTAGAATAAATTCTATGGAACTGGTTTGTGTTTATTTTGTATTATAATATCTGGTCTTTTATCATTTGTAATCTCAGAGTAAATTAATGAGCCATTGACCAAAAATATTTTCCACACATAGCTCATGCCAACATCCTTTTCAGTTGTGTTTGTGTGAATGTTTTGGGAGTAAGTCATCCATACCTTTGTAGACACATGTCTAATTCTTACTTTTATGGTACTAGTTAATGCCGGCTGCATTGCTTGTTAATTGCAAGTTATTTTTAATCTTCTTTAAGGCCTCTACCATTGCAAGTGCATATGTCTTATGGTTCTAATTTTCATTTTTTACTACTTTGATATTGGGCTTGATAGTTTCTTTCCAAAGCCAATAATCTGCCCATTTATAGACATTCTCTTTGTTCACGTAGCTGTGGTATTAGTTGTATCGTTGTTTATTCAGTTATTTTTTTTATGTATCAAATTATTTGTGTCTGCTGTAGAAAGTCTTCAGTTTTTCTATTGTATTTGCCTCATCAATTGAGTTGCAAGCTCTGTACCACTTTAAAAATTTCCTACTTCACCTACTTTAGTCTTGAACTATTGCTCATTGAGAGTGCTTTATTCACTTTAGACTACTTATAGTTAACGTAGTTTCAAGTATTAAATGATAAAACAGTTTATGATATAAGTATTCATTAGTATTAACTTTTCTCTTAAACCGTTTTTTAACTCTAGTGTGAAGTTTAGCATATTTAGTGAGCATATTTACAACAGTGAGGCCCGACACATTTTCTGTTGAAAACAAATTGAAAATGTTAAAATTTTTTGAAAGAATAGATGGAGAAAAGTGGTGTCTGGTGGACAGACAAATATTTCTTAAGAAGCGAGGCAGTGATCAAATATAGTCTTTAATAGTACATTTTCCATTGTCACACACTTCTGATTAATCCTTTGTTTTTATCTGAACTTTTGCAAATAAATGCTCAAATTCCCTCAGAATCGCATTGTGATAAAACAGTGTAAAAAAACATCAAGTGTATTATTGAATTCATACAAAAAACAATTAAGTGCTTTCTAGAAATCAATGAAAACCATGAATGCTATCTAGAAAACATTATTCATATAGTGGGGTCATTTTTGACACCAAATGTCACTTGTGTTAGTATATTTTTATACTTTTGCATATATGAAGTAGAAAATACAGTTTTTTCTTTTCTTAACATGTGTGTCAGTGAACTACAGTCTACTACCTGAACTGTACAGAGGATCTTCACTAAAATGGATATATGCTGATGAATACGACCAATGTCACAGCTAAATGAAGTCACTAGTATATTTTTAAAATTTTCTCAAAATGCTCGAATTTTTGTGTGAACAAAGTGTAGTGTTCTAATGGCACAGACCTATTTTCAATATAACCTATTGATTTTCAAAAATTTGGAAGATTCTCACTTGGTGAACACACTTCTGCAACTATTATTGAAGAAAGAGGTTATTTGTTTTAATGAAATCTGTTGTTCAAAATTAGATTTTAAATCTCATGTATCATTTTTACAAATTAAGAGAAGTTTTCGTGGAATTTTTAGCGTAATCTTCACAATTAAAAAACAAAAAAAATTTCTTAATATTGGTTCTAAATGTTATCTTTAAATGTTAAGCAAAGTTCGCTTAATAATGTGTAATGAGTCTAAATTTCATTAAAGGTTTGGAAATGTTGATAATTGCAAAAGTTCAAAATGTTTTCAACATCCTTGTACAACAACATTTTTTTTTTTCCTTTTCTTTTACTGCAAATTAGATATTGTTACTTAATTTTGAGTTGGCTTGCGACAATTTTCCATGTTTATTTAAACAAGACTTTTTCCAAAACCGCTTTAATTATTTGTAATGGTAGAACACAGTGCACTGAATTTTACTTTGTTCATTAAAACTTAAATTTTCAAAAATGAAAATTAAGTTTTTTTTAATTCTTCTCTTTGAATTGTTTGGTGGAGACTTTTTCAAGAGGTGACTGAAGTATTACTAGGATACAAGTTGCATTATTATCAAAATCTATAATCATTACTTATAATACAAGAAAGTATATGCTGTTGCAGCATTACTAATTTTGTTTATGTACCCGCTGAGATGGCTAAAACAGGAATGCTTTCAAAGTGCAGAGCATCTTTTTTATTAACATGAACAAAGCACTGGACCTGATAGGATGGTTCTAGAATTATGTATATTGTGGGTATTGTTACAAATTTATATTAGTAAAGTTCATAACAACATTCAAATAAACATGTTCCATCATTAACACACGTTCATATTAATTACATGTAGAGAGTAAAATAATTTTGTTCATACATTCCTTTTATTTTTCATTTCTGTGAAAGTAAGTCGGTGTGTTTTATACAATGGTAATTTTAAGCTGGTAAATCTAGTATCTTGAATTTGGTTCTGATGGCTTTGTATTTTTAAGAATAAAAGAGCATTTTGAGTAATTGTTTATATTGTCATGTCTGTTGATAATGATTATGACTAAGCTTTTATCCAGTGTGAACAAATTTTCACACCAAGGTATTGAGTTAATTTTCATTTATTTAAATTACTTATATCTAATTCTTTATTACAATTTAGATTTTATAAATTCTTGTGTTTCGTTTCCTGTCTAATGATTAATTTCTTTTATAATACTGAAATGTCAGACTGTACTTGAAGATTTTTTGTTATTGAAACATATAAATCTTCAGAAATATAAATGGAAACATATCTCAGAAATTCAGAAGTAAAAGATGACAAACTACACCTATTTTCCTATATTAACTCTCGAGCCAAGGAGAGAGAATGATTAGGTAGGTCGGATGTGACCTGAGTGGGATTTGCAAATGCTTAACACGACTGAAAAAACAATTACATTGCAGAAGTATGTTTATTTTCACAACATTAATAAATAGACAAAAAATATTATAGATTTTTGGTGAATTTTTGTTTTCAGGTGAAACATTTCCAAAGAGACTGCAAAGAAAAGCTATAGCAAAATTAGAATTAAAAAAATTCCTCACTGTTTTGAACCAACTGTGTGTGATATGTTTGTGACCAAGAAAAATTAAGACTAACCAATTTTTAGACCACACGTTCCCTCTTCTCCCTCTTTTTATAAAAAACCTATTTTTAAGATTTTTTTTTCTGTACAAACTGTAAACATTTCACCTCCTGGGATATGTGAGACTGACTTCCTCAACACTTTTATAGTGTCAACAAAAAATATTTTTGTCACCATCCAGCTACCATCATAATTTGGTAATAATGTTCATAGATTGAACCCCAGCGCTGTGGTTCTGAATAATAAATACGTTCAGTCCTCAAGTGCGAACGGGTATGTTAGCGTTCGCACCTGCTCTCCTGCTTTCTCACAAAATGCATCAAAAATACCATTGTTCTGAAGTGCGAAAATACATTTTGTAATCACTATTGTATATTTTAATGGATAAAGAAGAAAGAACAAAGAAATTATATGTAATGAAACAATTATGATTTTAAGAGTAAGTGGGTCATATCTGACCTAATCAGAACTGTGTTCTATTGAAAACCATTACTCTTAGATTATAACATGTTCTTGAATCCTGCACCTATAAGGAAGGGTAGAGATGAAATGAAAGAAAGGATTCCTAAGAGCATGTGAACTTCAGAGAAAATTGGAGGTAGAATTTCACAGACAAAGTTTGTTTGCGTCCCAGCCGACCCGGACCTTAATGTTAATTGTCCATTTTTCTTGTGAACAAATATTAGAAAAACTAATAGAGTTGAGTTTTATAACTGTAAAGGAACGTCAATATTTGCGAAACGGCTGAGCTTGACTGTTGAGAAACATCTCCTACTGCTATCCATAAAGACTGAAGAATCAGGCGAGATCTGAACTTTCAAAAGAACTTTGTCAATATCGCATACCCTATACATATTTTGTACTGGTCTGTCCAGCATGAGGTTAATCAAATAAAATATGTATTGAATAAATTAAATTAAAATATTTGGAGCATATCGTAATATTTTTGTTTGTTTTTTTCCAGATTTTCCAATCGACCTACTAGAAAAACTAAAGAAGCAGCTGCATTGTATATGGAACTTTTGGGAAAGAAGTTAATTAGTCGTGATGGTGATGGGGATGAAGATTCATTCTCTGTGGATAGTTTTCCTGAGTTACCCAGTTCAAAAAGGAATGGTATGTTAATTTTCAGTCTCCTGTCAGTTTTGAACTGCTTGTTAGATATTGTTTTAATAGATATGTCAGCAATGTTTCATCAATTTTTGTTTGATTATCTTTCAGAACAAAGGGAACTTGAAATTAAAACAAAATGTTCTAAAGAAGTACAACATCACCATTCTCAAGAATGTCAAGTATTACAACATCAGGTTCAGAAAAAAGAAAATTCACTCAGCAAAAGAGAGATTCATATAAAGAAGGAAATTCATTTTAAGAAAGAACAAAATAATCCTAGAAAGCATGATGTTAAGAGTGATATCATTAGTAAGTCCAAAATTGAACGAAATAAGGACAGTGAGGAGAACAAGGGGAAAAATCAGAAAAATCAAAAAGATATCAGTAAACTTAAGTCACAGGTGGTTAAAAGATCATTACGAATTGCTAAAGAAGATTCTAGTGAAATCAAAATGGATAGAATACGAAAGAAATCTGGAAAATCGAAAGTTTCAAATTTAGTTACTCAAAAAACCAAAAGTAAATTGGAAATAAATCCTAAAGTAAGAGCCAGAGATCATTTAAGTTTCTTCACTTTTGACACAAAATTAAAAACGTCTGTTGTTGGTCATAGCTTAAGAAGTAGAAAAACCACTCGTGTTTCTTTACAAGTTGAAGAAAACGAAATGGAAGTTGGCACAAAGTCAACATGTCCCCGTCGAAGTCTTCGCAGAGGTTCTCGTGATGCTGTGCAGTGTCCTGAAAATTCATCACCAGGAATCACCAGTGATAATGATTTAGTTAAGTCACAAAAATCTAATAGTACCTCAGGACATCTACTTAAAAAGTCACTTGTGAAGGCAAGTAAAATTAATTTGGATTCTTTAGAAGACAAATTCAGTGATTCAGATGAGGAACCTTTGAAGAAAATTGCATTAAAAAACAATGTAAGTAAAAAAATTGATGTGGCCGAAGAGAAACAAGGGGAGGCTACAAATAATAGAAAGTTACTTGCAAGGGAAAGCAAAAATATGCCTCAAATGTGTAATAATCTCAAAGAGAAATGTAAATTAATTACGAAGGTTACTAGAGCGAGTGCTTGTTTTACTGATGAGACTTCCATTAAAGTGAAAGGAGGAGGTTCTGTTAGTATAAAGAAAGTTCTAAAAAAGAAGTCTGTGAGATACTCTAAAGTTACAGTCTCCACTGATAGAAAAAATAAACAGGTGCTTGAAAGAGAGAAATTATCGGTTGGAAAAGTAAAAGAAACTAGTAGAAAACAGCGAACTGATCTTAATTTTAGAATGAACTCATCTGAAAATTGTTTGAAAAGCTCAGGAAAGTTAGGAAAAAAGGAATTGTCTGAAAATAAGACCAATAAAAATAATTCTGGATCTCCAAAAATAACATGCTCGGACATTATAACTCAAAAGGAGAAAATTATTCGAAAGAAGAAAAAAGAAAAAAATGATGGTAAAACTTCTGTCAGTGTAGAGTTATCCAAAATTGCTCTTGAAGGAAAGAAGAAATTGGAAGATATAATTGATAGCAAGACTGATCCTGAATTGTGCCCTCCAGATAATCTCATTCCGCCTGTTGTGAAGAGTCCAGAAAATACATCTTCATCAGATGCAAATTCTCCAAGTAAAATATGTTCCCATTCTGTTGAATTAATTTCTGGAGAGAAGGATGAAACAAAAAATATAAAACAGAATGTCCAGAATAGTGAGAAAATTAGTTATGATGTTCTTATTAAAAGTTCTCATCTAAAAAAAGGTAAAATAGAAAGTTCTGAGAAAAAAAGTGATTTAGGTGCTCATGTTCATCCCATGAGAAAATGTTTAGTGGGTATAGAAAGTGAATTTAGAAAGATCTCTCATACAAACTGTTTACAGAGGAAAGGAACGGGGCTCTCGAAAAAGGAGTTCAGAGCAGATGTTCCAAGGCGATCTAGTACAAGTTGCCCCAAAGAAACTGAACTGGAATTACAAAGGAGATTAAGTATGGTGTGTTTAAAGGAGTCAGAACCTGACATTGAAACAGAAAAGAAATCTGAGAAAGAAGAAATTATTGGAGGAATTCGAATGAAACCTGAAGGAGATAAACAAGCTATTGAAACACCATTCTCAAAATTAAATACTATTCATAATTCAAATCAGTTTGTTGATTCTAAAGGTGTTACATTGTGTGCTCCTGAGAATGTACTTAAATCAACAAATGTTCAGGAGCATTCAGCCAAAAACAATAAAATTGCAACAAATATTAATGTAGTTGAAAAGCTTGTAGATGGTGGTCCCTTAAGTTATGTAAAATGTGTTTCTGCTGTAAAAAAAGATGTCACAAAAAATATTGCTTCTACAAATGTGAAACCTGATCTACAAAACACTGTTGAAAATAATGTAGTAGCACCATTTACATGTAAAAATGGAAACAACTCTAGGTATGAACTTTCATTTGCGAACCTAGGAAGTTGTGTGAATTCTGGTGTAAAACTATGTGCTGAACCAGACAAGAAAAATACGTTTGAAAAAAATAATATTGTGAACGCTGGCATAACTACTGAAGAAACGACATGCAAAGAGCACGATTTGCCATGTGACTTAATTAGTGTGAATCCAGAAAGCAATTTTTGTTCTACAAAAGGAATAATTTTATCTGATCCTGGTTCTAAAGGAAAATTAGGTTTAATGGAAAATCATCAGTTGGATGATGTGTCCCCATCTCGTAACAGTCTTATTAATACATCAAATCAGGTGAATGATTATAGTGATGCTCTTTCTACAGCAAATGTTTCTGATGGTGTAACTCTAAAGCATTGTGTCGTCTCAGGCTTACTGTGCCCTGAATTATTTGAAAAAAAAGATAAGAACCAGAAACAAAGTCCACATGTACTGTGCAGAAGGTCATCAGAAGTAAAAATTCAAGAGCAAAGTGAAATATTGGAGAAAACTGAACCATATAATCCAAAAGCCAAGACCTTAATTGATTTGGAGTGCATTGAGAATAATACGCCACTCAAGTTAGGAGCTAGTGATGTTGATCTTGAAAAAGGAAATTTAGGTTTAAATTCTTTACTCCCTCCTGATTTGGGCTTACGTGACATGAAAGTGAAAGAGAAACTAAATATGTCTGCTGAGCGGGTTGAAAAATGGTTAAGTGAAAGCTGCACAGGTAATTTGGAACATAAAAAGGAATGCACATTGTATGACAAGAATGTTTGCAACTGTGGGTTCTCTATAATTGATGATGATTTGTGTTTATCAGACTATGGTAATGATAAAATTACAATGGACTGTATTTCTGGTGATTGTGAGGAGGAGGGAGCTGTAAAAATGGCTGCTACTGTTTGTCCTTTTACAAGTGAGTTTGCAGTAATGCAGACTGCTAATTCAGAAAATTTGAAACCTAGTAACATGGAAGAACCAAGTGCTAGTGTTATTTCACCTGATGATAAAGTATGCAAAGAGAAAGAAATTTCTCTGTCAACATTAACAGAAAGTTCTAGTATAGAGAAGGTTGCTGAAGCACCACCAAATTATGAAGTCCTTCCAAAACCTGTAAGTGTGTCTTTTGATGTCCTTGATAAAAAGAAAGAGTGGGAAACAAGCAAAAAATGCACAGAAGCCCCTGCAGAGCAAGGTGCACGCGTTGGTTGTACAGAAAGCCACCCTCCACCATTGATTAATTCAAATATTTCAACATCCTCTAAGAATAATCCACAAAAAGAAACAATTACAAAAAATAATCAAATTCTAAATGTAATGCAGAATCAAGTGCCTATTGTTTTAGAAAACACCAATAGTAAATCTGAATGTGTTCAAGAGAAAGGAAAATTGTCTTCAGTTTTAAGTGATAAGAACACTAAAAAGTCAAAAGAAACTAATAAATCTGAAGTGTCTTCCATGGTAAGGACAGGGACCAAATTATTGCAAGGGTCAGAACGTGTGAGTGAAAAAAAATCTATATTTCAGCAGCGCAGATCTTTTCCTCATAAAGTGAAAGAACGTAAAGATTTGACCCCTAGTGCAAATGCTTTTTCTCCTGAAAACGAAAGTAGTGTTTATGCATTTGAAACAGAACCAGATTCTCCACCTATCAGTACACCGTTCAGACGTCGTGCCCGAGACAGTCGAACTTCTAGTACAACAACTTCAAAATCTGAAGAAGATTTGGTAAAATTAACTGATGAGGATGTGTGTATGAATAGTTCTAATGTGTCATCTTCCCTTCTAGTTCCTTCTCCTGAAAAAGTAATATCAAGCTCAGCTGTGAACAATTCATGTTCTAGTGAAGTACAAACACCAAATGCCATGCAAGATTCATCACATGCAGTGTGTTCACGTAATAGTACATCAATTGCTGTGCAAGTTAACCTTGATTCTGAAGCATGTTCTGAGACTAGTCCTCCAAATGTCCCTCCAGTAGAAGCTATTATTCCTGAACCTGTTCCTCAGCGAAGTATGGAATGCTCTACTCAGACGGAAGTTGCTGAAGAAGAAGATGACGAAAGTGAAGGACATCTATTTTATATTCCTTTGCAACAAGCACCAACACCAGCTCAGCAGGTGATTCAAGGTGTTGCTGTTAAATTAGGAACTGAAGGACCTACTGGCCCCAACCAAAGAGTAATAATGCGTGCCAAACTAGTTACAAAGCCTCCAAGCTTCAGTAGACCAGCAACTTCTGCCCCAGATGGAGCACTTGGAATTCGAAGGTTAGTAAGTAATATAAAGTTATAAACCTGAAAATTTAACTAGTTGTTACTTAGCAGAGACTATTGTACCTTTGAACATTGTATATTGTGTGTTTCAAGTACAAATCACTTTTATTTTTTCATGTTTATAAAGGACCTCATTTAGTATAAAACTATTTATTTCACATGAATGACATACAACACATATTCCACTTTTAAAAGAAATTTGAAAAAATATTGAGAGGTATACAAAGGTTATGTACCACTGAACATAACCTTATGTCCGAAAGTACACATTTTTTGGGAGCAAATTCAAAGAAAACTTGGGGAAAATTTGTCACTTAACATAATAGTCTTAAGATTTATCAAAATAAAGTTCCATTCTTCCCTTGTAATTTTTAACAAACAATTCAGCTAAATTACATTTTTTTAATTTAATTTTTTTAGTTGCAAACATTAAGTATTTATTTTATATTATATTTCGGACTGTTGAGAACTTAACTTTGAGTACTAGCTGTTTATTCTGTCATGAGATACCATTTTTCACTGGTTTAGGTAATTTCATAACTACAAGGTTCAGATTCATAAATGTTTTCACCTACACAAAGAATTTTTTTTCAGTAAGCTATTTCAAATTCAAAATTTAAATTTTCAATGTCTATATAATTGTTATTGTTTTTCTGCTTTAAAAATTTAATGAACACAAAGTTCTCAACTTCATAATTATTGTGTTCAACTTTCATTACCACACATCCTTCAAAATATCAGTCACCATTTCATCATCATTTTCATCGCTATTATCTTGCATTGCTTGCTTGATCAAAACATCTTAAAACATACTGGCTTTTGTGGCTCACACCATCAATTGATCTCACTGCAGTGCCTATACCCCTTAAGATCCTAGGGTTTAAGTGACTAGTTAGATAGCTAGGTTTAATTCAGCTGTCGTGTGGAGCAGATTTCTAGCAGCTGGCTCCTCTGATACGTAGTTTTCTACGGTTTCTTTGATTGACACCAGGTGAATACTGGAGCAGTAACCTGACAGTCGCTCCACAGACCGCTCACAATCTTTCCTTCCTCTTCCTTGTTCTATTCTCACATTTTTCTTACGCACATGTACACTTACATGCACTACACTCACACATGCCAGAAGACCAGGCAGGCGCTTGGAGCTTGTCCTGACTGGGACAGTTTTGGGCTTACCTATCTTCTCTCTCTCTTTCCCTCTCTTTCTCTTTTTCTCTCTCTCTTTCCCTCTCTTTCTCTTTTTCTCTCTCTCTCTCTCTCTCTCTTTCCCTCTCTTTCTCTTTTTCTCTCTCTCTCTCCCCCCTCTCTTCTCTCCTCTCTCTCTCCTCTTCCTCTCTCTCTCTCTCTCTCACTCTCTCTTCTCTCTCGCTACTCTCTCTCTCTCTCTCTCCTCTTCTCTCTCTCCTCTCTCTCCTCTCTCTCTCTCTCTCTCTCTCTCTCCTCTCTTCTCCTCTCCTCTCTCCTCTCTCCTCTTCCTCTCTCCTCTCTCCCTCTCCTCTCTCCTCTCTCCTCTCTCCTCTCTCAGTGCTGAAGTGTTCAGAATGGCAAAACTGACCCATCCCTTTACAATTTAGTGCCCTTGTGTTGGGTTCAGAATGATCCCTTTTTTAGGAAACAATTGTCAAATAAACCATCAGTTTGGTTTTGTAGTTGTGAAAATAGTGATATAAAGTTTGGGCTCATGGATATTTTTTATGATTTCATTTCTGTAAATTGTTCATTGCCATGAGATTTTAATTTTTAACGAGGAAATGATTTTTTATTTATGTTCATTTTATTTTATTTATTTATTTTTCATTTTTCTTTAATGGTATAAATGTGCAATTTTTATTTACTTGCCTTACTACAGCTGTGGAAAGCAAATTGCAAAGTTGCGGCAAAAATCGGTGATTTTTCAAATAAAAAAACAACGAACAAACAATCTGATATTGTGGGCCTCTGGTATCGAAAAAGTGATAAATTTTGATCCTTTATGAAGTAAATTACTTCCTCTAACACATTATGCACTCAGAATCCACATTTTTTGGGTCCTTGATACCGAAAAATAGTTGATGGCAAAACATCTGCAGTCAATGCTATGTTCAGACAATTTGCTCCAACATGGGAATTCGCCAATAGATCTAGAAGAACGTGATGCCCTGCTAGTTGAAACAGATATTTTGAGTCTGGGGACTACTTTACACGAAACTTTTTTTGTTTTGAAAATATTTTCAAAATGTTCTAAAAAATCGCTTTTTAATTTTATTTTACTTTGTCCTAGGAAAAGGACACTTTAAAAGTGGCAGTGGCTGATTTTCATTAAAATCTCTTAATTTTCGAAAATTGCAGAACTTCAATATTTTTTTCGGTGTGTTCCTTCAACTACAATAATGAAGAAAGACAAAATATTTTCTTCAAAGGCAGATCTTAAAACAAGGTCATTAATAATTTTTCTGAAAAAATTAGTAGTTTCCATGAAGTTTTTATGAAGTTTTGGCAAATTGCAAAAGTTAGAAATAATGCAAGAAAGTATATGCTGTTGGAGCGCTAGTTTTTAACCATCGGAAAAGTTCAGTATAGTTGATGGTATTAGGGATAACGTGACTGGTGTGTTAAATTGAAGAACTTTAGTTCGAATCCCAGCACAAAGAAAAAAGTTTTGCTTGTTGGAAACAATTTTTTTCAGATTCATATAGTATTATATTCCATAGCCATTATAAGTAATGCGAGAAAGTATGTGCTTTTGTAACACCACTATGTTAATTTTATGTTCTTGGAAATCACATTGTAAAAGAGGTTATTTTGAGGCTTAAGAGATTATAAGACAGATCCAGAGACGAATTTTGGGGGGATGTGATTTTGGTTGAATGTGTCATATTACAGATTATGTAGAATGATGCAACCTAAACTCAGCTCATTCTGCTATACGATTTTAGTTTTATTGATTATCCTAAATATTTTTGTTTGGAAGTTTCATGAAGAAGTTACTGATAAAGTAATTATTATTATTTACTGAAAAATGGTAGGGGGGATTTACCTCATTTTCTTCCCTGTAAATCCGTATGAGTTGGATGGACATAGTGTGTAAAGAAATAAAAGAAGTTTGTCTCCGTCAACTTAATATGTTAATTTAGAGAGCCAGCTTTCGACAGCTTAGCCATCATCAGTCTCGCTATTTTGGCAGAAGTCGGGAGACAGTGTCTGTCTGTCAAATGTGTCCCTACTTTTGTCACAACAGCGAGTCTGATGATGACGGCAAAACCGTTGAATGCTGGCTCTAAATAAACATATTAAGTTGACTGAGATAACATCTTTTATTTCTTCATGTAATTACATCAACAATACCACATCAGATTTCCCACAATTCAAAGACATATTATGTTCTATAAAATGTCATTGGTCACAGATACATTTGTATTTATACATACTATATAAATTCCCTCTAAACAATCAATAAAATTGAAACTAAGTAACTGTCATCATGTGAATAGTTTAATGTATTTTATGGTATGATTGATGGTGAAAACTATTTAATGGACATCAGATATCAAAAAGATTATAGTTTCAGAAGAGCTGATAACATAAGTATCCACTGTGAGCTCTTTGCTACACAAAGGAAGAGTTCAGCAATATAGAATTTGGTGCTTGCACTCTTTCATTCTTTGAAAAAAGTATATTTATTGAGACCTGTTGAAACAAGTATAAGAAATGAGAAAAAAATTGACGCATGGTTTACATCCTTTTTTACTTATTTGATTTAAATAATAATAATAATAATAATAATAATAATAATAATAATAATAATAATAATAATAATAATAATAAGCCATATTATAACTACGGTTCAGTCATCCTCATTATCTTTACTTACATCTCGTTTAAATATTCATTGCATCCCCTCTAAATTGAAGATAAATTAAGGTATTATTATTTTACTTTTCACCACCTGATCACACTTGCAAGCCAACAATAGCACAAGGAGGTGTTTCCCACATCGCAATTGCAACCCTCATAGCTACTTAGCACAAGTAATGTTTCAAACATCTTGTATTTATTTATATACGATATTCCATGCCATCCTTCAGAAAATTAAAATTCATAACACTTTTAATGCATTTTTCCTGTATTGAACTATTGTCTAACTCAAATAGCCCTTTTTGTAAATATTGTGTGCTAATTTGTAAGTGGTCTATTAATTTCTAAGTTCTATTTTAGGAAAAAGGAAAATATTAATCTGCATACTATTTTAAATTTTATAGCTGTTTTTCTCTGTACAGCAGGTTACTCACGAAGTTAATAAGAAACTTGAAGGAAATAATGGTTTTCAAGTTACATATTTTTTAAGGTGGATAGTTGCTTAGCAAATTATAATGAATTTAATGTTTAAATTCACCTTTCCAATGATTATACGAAACTTTATTTCTACCTTTATTCAAACCCGCTTTTATGGCTTTACCTGAAAACCATCGAATTATCAAAGTATCTCAAAGAATTATCAAAGTATACAGAACTCATTGCATGACACACATTATCATTGCACTGTATATCACGAAATGCAAACTGTATATCACGAAATTGCACTCAGTGATATACAGTTTATTGAAGTTTTGTCGAAAGCACTACTTGGTGCATGAAAATATTGAATGTGGGAAGTGCAAGGAGAAGTCCAACAATGCAACGAAAATTGTTTAAATCCATATTGTCATGCGTGAATCGTCGGCTATGTTATAAATTAGGGCGCGACCGAAGGAAGACTAACCACAATGCCGTATTTATTGCATACGTAACGGGCGACCCTAAATTTGTAGCACCACCGGTTGGTCACCCGATGTACCTCTGCGCCTCTACACCACGTGCCCCTGCGTCACTACCCATCGACCAGAATTAGGATAGGGGTAGGGTTCAATCAGTTGTGGAAGTTTTCTTGGGGAATGGCAGCCCATTCTTCAAGGAGTGCTGCACTGAGGAGAGGTATCGATGTAGGTCGATGTCGAAGTCGATGAGGCCTTGCACGA